CAGAACAGAAAGTGTTTAATAATGCCTACTGATCAACAGGCTTTCTATAGTGGAAATAGAAGATCTATGGAGCTCTGTGTCTCTGGGCACCTTTTCTTCCGCCCAGGATTCTGCCCTATTCTTCCTGAATACTCTGGTTTACCCAACCACTCAGCTCAGTCTGTCCAACTTGGCTGACTAGGTTCTCCCTGCTTGTGCTGCAGCCTGTATATCCTTTTCCAGCAGTAGGCTGGGGGATAATTGTAGGGTTTTTAAAATTCTCCCTTCTAACCAATTATTATCCTGGACTGTTTGATGCTCCATGACTGCAAAATGTTGTTTTAGATATTTTATTTAGGCAAAAGAATTTTGTTTCAGGCAGAGAGATATATCTAGCCACTGTTCTTCCTTTTTGACTGAAAGTAGAAATTCATTTTGCTGAAGACACTATTAGTTCCTTGGGGCTGCTGTAACAAAGTACCACAAACTATGTGGCTTACAACAGAAATGTATTCGTTCATAGCTCTGGAGGCTAGAATTCTGAAAGCAAGGTATCAGCAGACCCCTTAACGGTTCCAAGAAAGAATTCTTCCTTACCTCTTGTTGCTTCCGGTGTTTGCTGGCAATTCTCAGCACTCCTGGGCTTGTAGGTGCTCACTCTAATTTCTCCTCCTTTCCACGGCCTTCTCTTCCATGCACCTATATTTCTTGGTCCAAATTTGCTTTTCGTGTAAGAGCACCAGTCATTGCCTTAGGATCTACTCTAAACCCAATATTACTTCACTTCAACTTGGCAATGTCTGGAGACATCATATTTTCAAATACTGTCTCATGGGACCCTGGGATTAGGTTTCAACCTGTCTTCAATAGATCTGATTTGAGGGATACAATTCAATGTAGATCTATAAAGGAAAGTTTTATTTTTCTTCTTGTTTAAATGATACCTTGATTAAATAGTATCTTAGATAATAATATTTTATCTTTGCGGTAAACTACCCTGGATTATTAATCAACTTTTCAATATCTTCAAATATGTTTGAGTCATTAATTTATAAATAAACTTCATATTTATACATGGTTTATTAATACAGCGAGATTGATATTTAATAATATCTCCTTTTGGGTATTTAAAAACAAAGCCATTTTGAATTTTTTTTTTTGACTTTTGTTTCAACCTGGACCCAAGGGATCTTTAGGGATTCCAAGGGATTCAAACTGGAAATTGTAATAATCAATTACTGTGACAATATCTTAAAGTATCTTCTTACCTAGAGATAGGAATGTATAGTCAATGATAATTTCATTATTTGAAGGGATTAGAAATAACTTTGTCAAAAAGTCTGGCATTTAGTTTCATTTACAATTTCTTTTTAAAGAATCACAAAGGGCTCAGTGTCCAGTTAAGTTTAGTTTCTCAACTGATGTCATTGATGTCAGAAGCATGATCAAAATGAGAACACAGGTGATAAAACTCTACAATCTAAATTGACTTTCTTTTGAGTAACGGAAAGTTTTTAACAATGCCTGTTAATAAACAGATTTTCTGTATGGAAGACAATTCTGCAAATTCCATTGTTACAATATGTTGTATTATTTAAATTATGACCTTAATTTAATTTTAAATATGACTTTCTTCCTAGCATTCATCACATTCCTCATGGGAGTTAGAATACGTCCTTCACATATCTGATTCTTTTTTAAAAAGATTTTAATTCCCCTTCACCTGTCTTCCCTCTCTCCATCTCTTGGTTCCCATCCCATTTGAGAAAGGTCTTCTTCCTATTGTCTATCTTTTAGTTTGCTCTTTATTAATAGTTTAGATTTCTCATTTAAGAGAAACCATGCAGTATTTAAGCATGTATGTCTAATTTATTTCACTTAACATTATGCTCTCAAGAAGCATCTATTTTCTTACAAATGCCTCCAGTTTATCCTATTTTATGCCAATTTGGCATAGTTTACTGGGTATAAATACCACATTTTCCTTATCCATGTATGTGTTGGTAGAATAGTAGAAGGTGCTTCCAAGATTTAGTTATTACAAATTGGGCTGCTACAAATATGGAAATGAATGTATTACTATAATATATCTTTAATATTTGAGGAGGCTATCTAGGAAGGGACAGCAGAGTTGAATGGAGTATATAGTTTTAATTTTTTGAGAAAACTCCATACCGATTTCCAGAATGGTTGTACCATTTTACATTCCCACCAGCACTGGGCAAGGGTTCCTTTTTTCCCTGAGGCTTAGCAATGTTTGCTATTCTTTGACTTCTTGATAAGCATTCTGTTTGGAATAAGATGGAATCTCAGTGTTGCTTTAATTTGAATGTCTCTAATGGCCAAAAATGTTGAATGTGTTTTCATGTATTTATTGGATATTTGTACTCTTCTTCTGAGAAGTGTCTATTCATTTCAGTTGTCCATTTGTTGACTGGGATCTTTTATTTTTAGGGATCTTAAGGTAGTTACTAATAGTCTTCTGGATTTAAGCAGTCCCCACTCTGATTTGGACTTTCTCATTTCTAATTTTATTGAATTGGGTGTTTTCTTTCCTTTTTTGATAAGATTAACTACTTTGTTTTTGGTAAAATTGTCTACTTTGTCTATTTTTTCAAAGAAACATCTCTTTAATTTATTATTTTATTTTTTATTATAAATTTCATTGGCTTTTGCTCTAATCTTTATAATTTCTTTCCTTGTATAGCTTTGGCTTTGGATTGTCCTTGTTTTTCTGGGACCTCAAGGTATATCACTAGGTTATTTATTTGTGCTTGCTGTTTTTCTGATGTGGGCATTCACAGCTATAAGCTTTTCTCCTAGGACTTCTTTCATTGTGTCTCATAGATTCTGGTAGTATTGTACTGGTATTTTGTTTGATTCTAGATTTTTTTATATAACCCATTATTCAAGTTTTATTTATATTTTTATATGACCCATTATTTAAGTTCCATGTGTTTGTATAATTTCTGCAGCTTAGTTTGCTATCAATTTCTATTGTCATTGGATTATGAGCTGATAACATGCATACAATAATTGTGATTATTTTTTTGTAATTACTTAGGAATGCTTTATGGACTAGCATGTGCTCTATTTTGGAGAAAGTTCCATGTGCTGCTAAGAAGAATGTGTATTTTGTTGTGAGGTGGAACACTTTATAGTATCTATTAAGCTCATATGTTCAAAGGCTTGGGTCAATTCTGATATTTCTTTGTTGATGTTCTTGTCTAATTGACCTATCTATTTGTGACAGTGGAGTATTACAGTGCCCAGTTATAACTATGTTGATGTTTATCTGATTTTTTATGTCTAGTAGTGTTGGTTTTATAAAGTTGGGCATGTTGGTGTTTAGTGCATGTATGTTTATAATTATTATCTTTTCTGTTTAATTGTTCCCTTAATAAATATACAGCAACCATCTTTGCCTTTTCTGATCAGTTTTGGCTGAAAGTCTACTTTGTCTGAAATTAAGATAGGTACTCTTGCTTTTTTTCTGGATTCTCAATTTAATGGAATATTGATTGTCTTCTGTCCTTTGATTTCTAATCTGTGAACTTCTTCTTGGATTAAATATGTTTCATGTGTACAGCGTACCACTGCATTTTGTTTCTTGCTCTATTATGTCAATCTGTGTCTTTTCTGGGGGGATTAAGAGCATGCACAGTCAGTTATTACTAAAGGATATGAACCTACTTGTATCACTGTGTGATTTTCATGTAGCTCATTTCCCTCTTTCCTTCCCTTTTCTGTTTAACTACTCCCCCTGGCTGGTGTATTAATTCTATTAGGTTTTTTGGCTCTGTTGCTTTCCTCATCCCTTTCCAAAATATCCTTGAGGATTTGAGTGTTTGTTTTGTAGAAAGGTGGTTATAAATTTTTTGAGGTGTTCTTTGTCATGGAAATATCTTATTTCTCCATCAGTTTTGAAAGATAGTTTCACAGGATGTGTTAGTCTGGTTCAGAAGTTGTTTTCTTTTAGAGCTTGAAACATTTCACTCCAAGCTCTCCTGGCTTTTAAAGTTTGTGTTCAAAAGTCTGTTGTAATTCTAATGGATTTACTTTTTTAAGTGATTTGTTGCTTTTCTTTAACAATTTTTAAAATTTTCCCTGTGGTGGATTTCTGGGATTTTTGACTATGACTATGCTGGATTTCTGGGATTTTTGACTATGACTATGCTAGATTTCTGGGATTTTTGACTATGATGTGTCATGGAGAGGTTCTTTTCTGAGCATGGCAGTATGCCTCATATCTGTATGTTTAATCCCAGCACTTTCAGATATGGCCATTTCTGAGCATAACACAAGTAAGTCTGGCTTCTTGCCATGGAAGGATGGAGCCTGCGTCCTTCCCAGCTCAACCTTTACCTTCTTAGAGTTTCTATATCTAGCCTGCACCCTTTGTGCAACTATTTCCAGTCACTGTGGGAAGGCTACACTGGAAGATCTGCAGTAAAGATATTCTTTAGTTGTTCTGACTCTCAGTCTTAAATAATCAGCCCGGCAAGCACTCTGGCTTGGTGTCACTCTAGATTCCTTTTCTTGCTGTTGCCTACTGTGTGGAAGGAATCACCTTGGAGCAAAATTCCATGCTGCTTTTGCAGTTCATAACAGCTGTAGGCTCCTTCTAAGGCCAGTGCCACTGGCCCAGTCTTCCATTTCTTCCTGAACCTTTCTCGTTCCATGGGCTTACCTTGTGTCTATGGAGGCAGAATCTACACTAATATTTAATACTTTTACAGTATTTACTATCTTTCTGATGTTTTCCAAAGTACTTTCAACATATTAATTTATTTGATTCCAACTCTGTGTTGCCATTGAAATTATCCTAATATCATAGGAAAGTAAAATACAGATACATTGAATAATACACTGAAGGTCATATGCCTGGTAAGTGGAGCTGAAATTGGCAGATAGCTAGGCACTAGAATCTATATACACAATGATATATTCACCAAAATGCAATGGCACTATTTTTTTGTTATAGTTGCATGTGATAAAAAGTAAATTTATACTTAACAATATAAAATAATAAACACTTTATTACACAGAGAATGTTTTAACCCTATTAATTTTGTGTTCAAGTGCCCATTATTATCCATCAAAAATGCACAATTAACAAATTAAAATATCAAAGTTTATAAACTAATACTAAGAGGCAAACAAAAATATACCTTGGATAGCACATCCTTTTTGATAGTTGGTTGACAACTATAAACAATAATTAGTAAATCAGAACTGATTATTCATTTCTTCAAGGTAGCAAAGCCTTATTCTTCTAATTATTTTCTGTATAGTTCCATTTGAAAAATTATTCTAGTTCTATTCTTTTTTTTCTGTTGGCAGAAAACTTCTTTGAATACCTCATGCAGGCTATATCTTTTGACTATAAATTCTATGTGCTTTTGTTTGTCTAATATATTTTTCATTTTGCTTCCAGAGTTTCTCTTTTTGAGTACATTGGTCTAGACAATGAACTCCAAACTTGCTGCTTTTAATATTGTGTAGCAGAAGAAAATTACTGTGCTAATTTCAATTTTAAACAAAGTCATAAAGTATAGATAAAAAGTAAATAAAGTGAATCCCTGGGGAAGCTATTCATGCTTCTTTCTGGAGAGTACTTGCTGAAATATCAACTGCTGAAGAATAAAACCCAAAGTTAATAGACAGTATATAAAAAAGTTCTTATTGAGTTGTTGCTTCACCAAGGCAGTGTTCATTGGAAATCATGCTGGCTTCTGGTACAGGGGTCCTCCATCTTCTTGGGCACCTGTAGCATTGCCAGCAGGGAACTGAGGGTGGCTAATTATTTCTGCTCCAGTCTGAGCCAGGGGCTCAGTTGGGGTCTCATCCACCCTTGATGAGTGCTGTGGCTGCTTTTCCACAGATCCTACATATGGCATTTTGTCAAGCATTGTCCAAACAATGGAAACAAAATGAAACTACTTGACTTATGAAGAGGAAAGAATAGAAACCAAAGCCAAAACAAAACATCCTTCCCCAAAGTTCACTGGAAAAGCCCTTCCCACAAACTTTCTTTTTCCACGGTGAGGTTGACATCAGTAGGCTCTCAAACAACTTCTAAAATAACCCCCAATCATGTACCTCCCACTATGGCAGCTGGTGGCCTCCCTGAGAAACCAGCACAATTTACAGATACAAATTAGGACACTAGGAGGGCTATCTTCAGTGGCAAGATGCCAGCCACAAGAACAGTCAAGCAGGATTAAGATAATGCAGGTCTTTTATGACCACATCTTTTCCAGATTTTCAGTGAAGATGTGATTGATGTTTCCCAGATGGCCTTTCCCAAATGGTACATGGACTATCAGCATAGTCACCAAGGTGCACACATGGGTCCCAGATTTCCCATCTGTGAGTCTCTTACCATCCCTTCCTTACTCAGCGTGGGCTCCCATCATACCCTCCCAACTGGGAAAAGCCAAAAATGAAGGACACATTTGAGGTAACACACTCAGCAGGATTTAGTGTTGTCTCCTATTTCCTCCTTCTTCATTTGGTCTGCATGTCACTGCTCATCTAACAGTGGCTATTGCAACACATTGTGGCTGGAGTGACCCACGTCCTCCATTAGTTCTTTTTCTCAAAGTAATGGGAGGGCACTCAGGTTGTACCTCATTCAGGACCTGGCAGTACCACTAGTCATTAGGGTTTGTTTCCAGCACTTCCACGGACACCCCTTCTGAAAGGTCTCCATCTCCTCTTCCTCTTCATAGTTTGTGATACAGATATACATTTCCTTGAGGTTATTAATAAGTGCCTGAACTAGGGACTTCTTGAAGGGCATGGATCCCATGTGATATTATGCATGTGCTGTTGTACTATGTGGACAGCAGTGGTGAATCTAATCCCTGACCAGAGGCCTGCTGTGCCCATATCAGCCTTGGCACCAGTGGCCACTGAGCACACTGGGCTGAAAGAGGAATTAGCTCCAGCAGATGCTGTCGAGGCTGTTGGTGGTAGTGAGTGACTTATTCCTCCACAGGATATAGGATAAGTGGTTGTCCTTGACTGGCAGGGCCAGTGCTGCCCGTTGTATGCTGTTTCTTATTTTCACTACTGTGGTGTTTGGGGTTTGCTGAGGTCCTGAGGGGAGCACCGCCCTCTTGTTCTGGTTGATGGTGTTCAGTGCTTGTACTGGCTTCTTGATTTTTTTCTAGGCTGTCTGATCTGCCCTTGTTCTGCCTGCTGTTTACTATGTCTGCTTTTTCACTGTGTCTGCCTCTTTGCTAGAGTGGTCAGATTACTTGTTCTTATTAGGTACCAGTTAGTGGGCAGGGGCCAACCTCTCTTGCTCCCCAGATCTCTCTTCCATTTTTCCAGCTTCTCTAGCACTTGCATCTCTGCACCTGTGGTGAAGATGATCTCCAAGTCCTGGACCTTCAGATAAGTACAGCGTGTCTTATACAAGGCACCCTAGTCCTACCACTCCTTCTTGGGAGGGCACAAGACTGGTAGCCAGGAGAATGATGATGTTGACTGACCTTCTGCTGGGCTCCTCTTAGGCATCTTGGAGGAAGCAAGGAGGGAAGCTCTGAATTCCCATTGCTAGAATCATTAATCACTTCCACATCTCTCACCCCCAGCTGGTTCATGGGTCTCAGCTGGTGCAACAAAGTGCAGATGTCCATTTTTTTCTTGACTCTGTTCAGTTCAGGAAGTTTGTATCAGGCCATTGGTTGGCTTGGGATCCCGGACATCAGTTCAGCCTTCATGTCAGCATCCTTCTTGGGACTGACCTTAGGAGTATGGTGGATATCTGTGTCCAATACAAAGCAGGGCTTCCAGTTGTCCTGTTCTTGAATAGGAAGGAGAAAATTGGGGGTGCAAATGGTGTTGATAGTAGTGGATGAGGAAAAGGAGGCTGAGGTGAGGTTCTTCTCCATTTCTGTCTGGATGTTCTTCTCTGCCTTGAGCTTTGGAACTGACAATGACTTGGTGGAATCTGAGTTGGCAGAATTTGTTCCAGTAAGGAACAGTGAGGATCCCCTTGTGGAATCACTGTCCCTGAGGAAGCCTCTGGCCAAAAAAGTGAGTGCCTGGAGCATTCATTCTCATAGATGATCTCTTCCAAGGCCATGTCCTCTCAAGACTCCCTCACCTTGACGTAGGATGCTGAAAGGAGGCGGGAGGTCAGGGCTATGGGACAGGGCAGACCAACTGTACCCCACATTCTCCAGCCTCTGCCAGCTGGGGATTAGGACCTTGGGTTGGGTCTGTGTGCTTGTGCAGCAGGTCAGGTTGAGCTTATTGTACTTATTAATCCTTGGTATGAGACTCAACCCTTCTCACTAATCTACATGTACCAGTAGCCATCTGAATTCTCATCAGTTACCTTTGCCTTAAGTCTACCTTAAAAGCTGATCCCATCAAAAGTGAAAGACTGAAATTCAACAGTTTTGTAGCCCTCCACCTCAACAGATAGACTCTAGTGGATTTGGCAGTTGGAACCCTGGATTCTTTCAGTGATAAAGTTCTTATCCTTAGGTTTGGGTGGCTGATCTGGTCCCTTTGAGGGGCAATCCTGCATATGACTGGAGAGCTTTGGGCCAACTTGGAAATGGTCCCTCAGGGAGCCCAGAACCTACCATAGAAGGTGTTGTGGAGAATGAGTGAACTGATGTTGGTGATGAAGAATTTGGAGTCCTCCTGAAGAAGCAAAGTCTTCTTGTCTCCAGATGCCTTCTTGTCCAGCAGGTTGCTGATGTCCATGAGGTTCCAAATGATTGCCACTGACCTGCCAGATTCTTCTTCCAGGTTGGAAGGTCATCTTTGGCATTATTTAGGTAGGGTACTGGTAGTCAGACCTCTTTGCCCAGGTATCTGATTTTACTATCAACCCTCTAAATGCTGTTGGACAGTCTCTACATTGACACCATTCTCAAAGCCAATCTTGCCCCACTTTGGCTGGTGTAGGACTTTGTGATTACGTATGTCTCTTCTTTAGGACTTTCCAGAGACCTTCAAATCCAAGTAATCTTGTATATTATTCTGGGCCTCCAGGTAGATGGTCAGCCTTGCTCTTCAGGGGTACTTATAAGCCACCATGCACTTTCATTTTTTCCAGTGACATCTATCATCAACATGGCCTGGAAGTTCAGCATTGAATTCTCCTGCTTCTTATAGTTTGATACCATCACACAATGTTCTAGGATCACAGGCTCAATACTGGTGTTGGCAACTGATTTTCTCTTGGAACTGCCACAGTCCCTGAAGAAAGAGGCAACAATAGACAGACATACAAATAGTTAGAGCCAGGTGGAGCCAAGGGGGCTTCAGGGATGCAGGGGGCCCCCTGGTGGGATATAGTTGGTTCCGTTGCTTCTATTTAGGGAAAGCCCACAGCCCAATGAGTTGCACCATCCACCCCTGCACACGCTGTGCACTGTGCTGCCCATCAGCAGGCTTTGCTTTCTGGTTTGGACTTTTAGGTTAAGTTTTTCCGCCTGTTCTTTTTCTTTATCACTTTGAAGATGTTGTTTCACTATCTTTTGGCTTTCATGTCTCTGAAAAGTCTGCTGTCATCTTGGGTATTCTTACTCTTAGTCTGCCAGTAATGAATCTTTTTACATGCTGATTTTGATATTTTTTTTTTATCACTGGTTTGCTAGCAATTTGAAAATCCTGTCAATTTTTTTTTTTATCATGTTTGGGATACATTGAGATTCCTATATCTGGAAACTTATAGTTTTCATCAAATTTTGAAAAATTCTCTATAATTTCCTCAAATATTTTTCTATTCCTTTACTTCTCTTCCTCTTGGGCTTCCATGTCACTTATTAGATTACTTGTTATTATTTCACAACTAAAAAGGAAGTGTTGGGGCTGGGGATTTAGCTCAGCAGCATAAGCGCCTTCCTGGCTACGGCCTGCATTCAATCCCCAGTACCACACACACACAAAAAGTAAGTGTTCATTTCTTCTCTCTGGGTGCTTCCTTTTGGATCGTACTTTAATTTTAATTTTCTACAACTTCAAAGTTAGTGTCTTATTCGTTTTTAAACTCACCCAGTAAAATTTTAACTTCAAATATTATAATCTTTGTCCTTAGTTCTACTTGGTTTTCATAACTTCCAATTCTCTATATATTTCTATTTTGCTTTAAACTCTTAGCTGCAGTAGCTGTTTAAATGTTGTCCCCTAGTTTCATTATCTCTGTTATTTATAGATCTGTTTCTATTGACTGACTTTCTTTCTTTCTTTTTACACTGGATCGTACATTTTTGCTTTTTGGTTTGCCTGGAGCTTTATATTAGAAGCTGAATGCTATGAATGTTGTGTTGTTGAGTTTCTTGTTTTTAAAATAGTGTTGAGCTTTATTTTGTCAAGTAGCTAGGTTACACGCAGGTCATTATGATGTATTTAAGACCTGTTTTAAATTTTTTTAGGGCAAGACTAGAATAGCCTCGTTCAAAATAGTTTAGCCCTACAACTAAGATATGACTCTACTTTATCTTTCCTGAATGATCTCAGATATCACTGAGATCTCTATTATACTGATCACAGTCAAATGTCAAGAATGCAGTTTAAAATAAGATGGTCATGTATGACTTCACTGAGATGGTGATATCTACACAAAAGTCTTTTTCCTATATATTTCATTACTGAGCAGTGGGAATGGGTTCTTGTATTAATATTGGTATATAATGTCAAACTGCTTTCCAGAGGAGCATACCATTTTATACTTCCAACAGTAAATCTGAAGAGTACCTGGTTGACCAGGAGATCTTGTTCAATGTCAAAGCACCTTCCAGGCCCTGGGTCTGATCCTCAGGACTGCATAGAAAGAATGAGAAAGAGTAAGAGGAGGGAGATGCTGGAGGAGAAGGTGGAGGAGAACTTGCTTCACAATATTCTTGGTAACACCATTTAATGAACTATGGTGTGTTTCTTAGAAAGAACTATGCAGCCATCAAGTATCAAATTTTTGAAGACTAATGACAAGGAAAAACTTGAAAAATACTATTATTTCAAAAAAGCAGGGTTAAAGATTAAAACCAATGTCTCACTTTCATATAATATTTTCATATGTCAATAGATAGCCTTTATCTTAAGGTAGTAGGGTTATAGGAGCTTTTAATAGTCTCATTTCCTTTTAGTATAACTTTTATGCTACTTTTAGTATAAGTTTTAAAACTTTTATTGTAAAATGTGAAGTGCTTGATAAATGGATGTGTTAAAGATAAAGAGCTTTACTCAGAACATGTAAATACCCAGAGGCAAGAAAAATCTGTAAACATAGAAACAATATACCTGCTATAAACTATAGCTATAGTCACATTTTTCTGCCTCTGTATTCATCAGTCATTTTCTAAGAGGAGAGCTATTGGACCTTTGAAAGGAGTGTCCTGACAGCACAACTCACCTAGTTGGGAACTTGCAAAATTTCCCAACTGGTCAATTTAAGTTCATGGAATAGAAACAACTGCCTATCAAAGATTGGTTTTATTTGTTTTGAAAATTTGGATTACATGGTTTTCCCTTTGGTCTTGTTTCACATTTTAACACTGAATGTATTGGTTTGATAGAAAGTCATAACAATATACCACTAATTGGGTAGCTTAAACAACTGAAATTTATTTTTTTTAGCAATCTTGGAGACCTGAAGTCTGAGATCAATCTATTAGCAGAATTGGTACTTGCTGAGACGTCTTTCCTGTGCTTCCAGATAGCAGCCCTTTCCCAGTGTCTTCATGTGAACTTCCATATCTGTAACTCTATCTCTCTATATATCTCTATCTCTATCATCTCTTTCTATTTCTACCTCTACCTCTACTTTTAGCCCTCACCCAAGCTTTAGTCTATTTCTATCCTTATTCCTGTCTCTGCCTCTATGTATCTCTGTCATATGTGTCCACATTCCCTTTTTCCTTTATCATGATGAATTAGAGCCCAGCCTGATGACCTTAATCTAACTAACTAGATAATTTGCTTTTAAAAGTCTCTGTTCAAAATGCATTCATACTCTGAGGTACTAGGGATTAAGACTTCAATATATAAATCTTGGCAGGACAACATTTAGCCCATAGCACTAAGTTCAGTTCTATGTTCCAAATTTTTCATTAATGTAGCAGAGATATAAAACCCCTTTCTTCATTCTTCAGGCAAAAATTCTGATCCAAAAGTACCTGATGTTGTATTCTGCCTCTCTCATTTGAAAACTGTTGACCTTAGATAAGACAGTATCCTTATCACTCGGGGAGGATATAAACACATAACTCATGTCATTGTAAGTACTTAGTGATTTAATTTATGTAGAACTCACAGAACAATGCTTGTTCTACAGCCAAGTGCTCAATAATCATTATCTGTTATTGTGATATCAAATTATCTAAATAATGTAACTACTTGGTTAACACTCTATTTGACATAAGACCTATAACAACAAATACAAAAAGGTACTTCTTTCCTAATTGAAGAGATATTTTTTTCCTCTCTCTCTTCAATTACGAAGTTGGTCTTATTTCTTTTAAGGAAGATCTTGTTATATTTTTAAAAATTCTATATATTTAGAAATACTTTTCTAAGAAATACTAAACAACTGAAGCATATTTGGTCTCTCAGACTCTTTCTCATCGTAGGCACTGATTTTTATTATGTGTGGTTGTAGATTTAAGAAGTAAAATCTGAAAAGAATACCTGAAATAATAAAAACAATAAATCCTATTATTTCCTTTATGATTATGTCTCTTCTTTATCCTTTAAAGAAAGCAGCGCACACACACTCACTTATACAGTGTTAGCTGTCTCACACACACACACACACTTCTACACTTGTTCTGGACACATTATCTAATGCCACGTGCCCAGATTCCGCAGCTAGATAATGCTGTCTTGGGAGGCTGTGATAGCTAATTAATTAAGCAATCTTTCTAGAATGCTTTGATGACTAAAAATATGGATGATGTGTCTATCTATCCTTTGTACCTCAGCTCGCTCACCCTCATGTGGGAACATATGCTTTGGGTATTTTTTCAAGCAAGGACTTGTGCTGATCTACCTCATACATTAATTCTAGCTGTAGTAATACTTTGGGAAAGGCATATGATCCCAAAATAACCAGCAGGAGAAGTGTGTCATGAAAGGTCATGGCAACAGGGTAGAGGATGTTGGACAGAAGAGTTCTAAAAATAGAGAGCAGGAGATCAAAGAGCCAGTGGTGATGAGGAATCTTTTTTGGCCGTGGTTCCTGGGAGGAGGAGAGGAAGAAGCAGCACTTGGCTGCCTGCTCATCCCTTCTGCTCTACCTGCCACTCACAGGTCTGCTGCAGAATCGCAGGGGTGGGAGGGTGGTTAGCACATTCTTTTCAGTCCTGGGTGCTGCCTGCCTTAAAACATTTTGATGAGAAAGGTATCTACAGAATGCTTAAAAATATGTCAAGATAAGAATATTATGGAGAATTTTGCCTTATTCATATTGCCAATATCACAAGAAATGTTTTGATCAAGAATCCACAATTTCAGCTCTTTCACAGACCAGATCTTGAGGTTTTTACGAGTTCAAGTTGACCATTGTCTTTCTTAAGTTACACGTCATAATTAAGTCTAAGTGTTTTGAGAGACAAACATTAGACTTTTGTGCATGGGTCAGTGGGTTCAACTTTGTGAGATTACATTAATTACTCTAAGTTCTGTAGAGACAGGTCTAGGCCTACCTGACTGCAGCTGAAGAAAGTGGTACTTTAGATGTATTGCCCAGCCCTTCTCCTCTACCAAATCAGATAATCTCTCTAAAGGTCAATTTCCTCAGTAGTAAAGTAATCCTATTGACTGAGTTGGCTGAGAGACAATAAAGCTATGGAAGTGCCTGCCACCCATATAATGCTGTACAAATGTTTCTTAACAATCACATGGTTGTCAACGAACCAGACTATACCTTCAAGCTGAATCCACTCCTTATTCAAGGAGACTTCACTGTACTCATTCCAAAACTATTTACTGTGTCACTCCAGTGTGCAAGGCATTGTGCCAGGCTCCAAGAAACTTTCAAACATGAATCATAGCTAAATCCTGCCCTCAAGGAACTTAGAGTGCGAAAATGCAGATAAATCCCAGAAAAGCGCACTGCTTATGTTATTTAGCTTCAAATACTTGCATAATTGAACATAATGTGTCATTAAGAGATTTATCAGTCCCTCTTAAATAGGTAAATAACAGTGTATATGGTAATTAACGTGCATTTCTGTTAATAAACTAAGCAACATGTATGTCTTTAGTCAAAGATACTGGGAAATGCATGTGAAAGCAGAGGTGCCTTTCGTGAGCCACACTTTAGTGCCACATTTTAGTGATGGTGAGTGACAGTGCACTAATGCAGCCCTTGCTGAGTGAGTAGTCTTCATTAGGCCCCCAAACCAAGACTGATCCAAAAGCAATTGATGCTGTCTGCCTCTAGAGATAATTTCACCATTTGTTTTCATTCGAGGTTTCCTGTGTCTGAATCAGTGAGTGAAAGGCCCGAGGTTTTACCATTTTTGTTGCACTGTGGTTAACAAATCTCAGACTTTATTCTAAAAGCAGATACAAAGTTAAGACTTCTGGAGAGTAAAGGATCCTAATATTTATAGGAGGGAGATAAACACAATTGTACTCCTAAAAATCTGTTATCAGTTTAATGAAAGTAAGATCTTTGGCTAAAGAAAATCTCAAGTCATTTGAAAGTCTTGACTCTTGTGAAAATCTAATTTGAAGCGCTTCCTTAGGCAGATTTATGGCACCAAAAATGTTCCTTGGTTAAAAACATTAAACATCTTCTTAAAATGCAGGACAAATACTGATGTTTCCTTCCAGGGGAAGAAAACTGCTTGAGAGATTGGAAATCTCTTAATGTCTTTTTCAGGAAAACTATGAGGGCCTGTACACTGATCTTGCATCTGCCTCTCCTTCAGGCATCAGTAGATTTAAATCAGTATCAGAGATCTTAAATATGGCTCTTAGGAAAAAAAGGCTGTTGTGAAGTCAGAAGAGAAATGTTTTATCTAGGGCTCAGAATAATGGTTGAGATCTGTTTGGGAGATCTATGGCTGCTACTACGGAGCTAATGAGTTTCACAGAATGGTGGGAAGAGAAAAATAAACATTACAAGAGCAACAAGTACTACATACCTTCAAGTCAAGATGTTCACGGCAGCCACAGAGGCCTGGGTTACCTCATGAGACATGTGACTCCCAGCCAAATCCTTAGAAAGTTGCTCTGCGGAGTCCAGCAGGGTGGCTTCAACTCTCCAACCTTTGATCCTTATGACTAAAATGCCTCAGAGGGAGGCAGAGTCCAGATCTACATCACAAAACCAACTGCAGGTTCATTAATAAACCACCACTGGTGGTACTGTAAGAAATACTGTCAAGCCTTGCTGATTCTGGATTCAGTCAATTCCCACAACAAACATTTATGGAATCTCTAGTACTTACTCTTTGCCAGGTATGAAAGTATATTTGTGCGTCTGACTTACGATTTGTGCTGGTATAAAGAACAGTGAGCATTTTTAGGCCAGTTGTGGGGTACTTTCTATTGCTGTCCTTTGCTGGTAACCACTGGGCTTCCAATCACTTATGACCTCATATTATGACCCAAATTACTTCCTGGTTCTCACCAACCATCATACGTCTTTTCTGGAAATGGTAGAGTTTTCATCTTAAATTGGCCAGAACTCCTTCAGAAGAGTGTTTAGTTTTAAGCACGGAAGTTTTAGAGCTAGGGATTTGTTTTGTGGCATTTTCAATATTCTATAAAACAAACTATATTCCAACTATGTAACTTAAAACAACATCCATCGAAACATACATTATGGATTCTGTGGGTGAAGAATTTGGGTAAGCCCTCCACGAGTGATACTACTGGAGATGACTTGTAGTCACCCAGTGGCACTCAGGTGGCAGATAAGCTGCATAAGAGGGCCGAAGATGATATTACTCACACATCTTGTACCTTGGTGGGAATGGCTAGAAGTGTGAACTTGGTGGGGCCTGCTTGGATTACCTACACAAAGTCTCCTCATCAGCACAGTCTCTGGGTGATTGGATATCTTTGTGGAAATATTGTTGAGATTATATTTGGAAAACATAACCTTTCACTTCTGACCTTTAACCCTGTCTCACTTATTTCCTCAAAATATGGCTCACTGCTTCTGAATACCTGATTCTTGTCTGGGGATTTATTTAGTTTCTATGTCTACTAAAAAATCAAGCTCTTTTCCTTTTTTCTTTTTCTTTGATCTAGTTAAGATGTCCACTCCAAAACAAAAACTTTCCATAGACCATCTAAAAGACAAGGCAGAGTTCATAGGGCTCAGTTGAACTGGCAAGGTGACACGGTTCAGACAGGAAAGAGTAATTATGACAATAATAATAATAAGACAATACTAAGGAGGTTGTCATTACGCTGAGTTTAGATGGACAAGGAAAATTCCGACAGACTGAAAGTAAAAGAGAAAGGCAGATCATTGCTACATGAACAAAAGCAAAGAAATATAGAGAAGTGTGATGTATGAAGGAAATAAGATTGCTTAAAGTATTAGTCTTTAGGTTCTTTAGTCACTGAGAAGTCAGAGTTATTAAGTTGTGTTTTAAGAAGATAACTGGGGAAGATGTATGGAGTGGTGAGATTTTAGACATAAAGAAAGACTGTGATATGAAGGGCTTAGGTTTAAGTGTGTCCCTCAGAATTCATGTGGGCACCTTAATCTCTGAAGGCATATAATAGTATTTAGAGGTGAAACCTTGGGAGATAATTAGGATTGGATGAAATCGTGAGAGTGGAAGCCCTGAGATAGTATTAATGGCTTTGTGAGACTGAGTGGAGACCAAAGGTAGCACATTTGCTCTGACTTGCCTTAAATATCTTTATCATGTTATCCTGTAGGGAGGGGCCCTTACTCAAGGCTGAGCTGATGCCAGCACCATGCTCTTGAACTGCTCAGTTTCAAGAACCCTGAACCACATAAATTTCTATTCTTTACAAATTACCAAGTCTCAAGTGTTTTATTACAGTAACAGAAAATGGACTAAGGCTATAAGGAAGCAATGTATCCTGATGAATGGAAAGGAGAGGGCTTTCTTTCCTTTCTGATCTATGACAGAAACAGTAGCTGTGACTCTTTCTCCAGAAATAATGGCTTACACTGGTACCATTCATCCCTTAGTTTGAACACTTTTTCAGCAAAGCCTTGTCCATTTTTAGATTGGATAATGGATAGGACTGATTATCCCTTGAGATTTCACACCCTCATCCCCATGTTCTTATCTCAGAAAATCTAGTGGCCCTGAAATCGTTCAATTTTTGAAGTCCTTTTAAACCTTTGCCTCGTTAACAAAGGCTCAACTTTTTGCTGTCTCCCTGCGTCTCTCAAACTGCCTTCACTGCGACCACACAGAACTTCTCACTACTCCCTGACCAAGCCGTGCTCCATCACACTGCATAAAATCATCTCTGCCATCCTAGACATCTACTCACACCCAGCTGAAATGTCCCCTCTGGTAAGCACAATACAATAGGCTGCTACATTCTGATCTCCCACAGTGCTCTGTCTTTTGTTATGAACACCTGTCCCATTGTAGCATTGTGTATCTTTCACATTTACTTTGTGTGTTAGACTGAGCCCCTTGAGGGTGAAGAGCACCTCTTATCATCTTCGTGGCACTAGTGTCTCTCATAGAACCTGGCACACAGTGGGTGATCAATAACTCTTGTATGAAAGAACAAAGTAGGAATGTCATTTCTCTCACATTGTTTCTGATCTAGGGCTTGTGACACGCTGAAGTATCCAGGGTTGGTACTGTTCTCTGCAGAACAGTGGTACTTAAGTCTGTTCAGAAAAAGCTGGGTTTCTGTTGACATAAAGCTACCAAAGTAATCTGGGAAATCAGCCAGTGGAAACCAGCAGATCCCAGAGTAGTAGAGCTCTATTCACCAACCTTGTTTATTTCTAACAAATTGTTTCCCAGAGGAATCATGAGCAGCCCAATTGCCGTGTCTCTCACACCCCAGCAACTATTAAAACCAGCAATTCTCTGCCGGGTTTCAGAGTGCAGAGCACCCCCATGTAGTCCCCTGGATTCATCAGTGACATTCTCTTCCCTGAAAGGCTGACATTCATGGGTAGTTTAGGTCATTGTCAACTTCTATGGTCCCCTTTTAAAATCCAAGGTCACACATTCATAAAATCCTTCTTGACATTGTGTGGATAATAGCGGAGAACTCAGCTTATACATATACTAAGCCCTCAAGAATGTTCCGTGGGCAGAATTCAGCTTCCTTGGGAGAAGGTTGTTTGCATAGGGTTTCAGAGCCTGCGGAGATGAGATGTTTTCCTTTTTACCAAGAGCCTGGCCGTGAACTGCCTTATATAACCAAGTCAGTGCTAGCTTCACCGTGGCTAGAGCAGATGAACGCTCCATGTGCCTTTCTCAACTTCCACTAGTGTGAATGTACTTGTGGAGAAACCCTAAGTCCTCTCATTTTATTATTTACTTTGATGTTCGCTGGGTTTATTACATGATAGTACAAAGGTGAAACATTTTGCATCCTTCTGACTTGTTTTAATTTTATCCGTTAGCACCTATGCTGCTGCTCTTCCTAATTTCAGTTTTGGATGTCTTCACCTCTAGGGTGATACATATATGTATGAAAATGATAACTTCTAAAAATGAATCAGTCATCATGTCACAGAATTGTTCTCCACATTTTCTCTGTAAAGGAGGAGGTCCCCTACTCTATTTACGGGTCACTAGGACAGTGGCACAATACTTGGTTGTGTCCTGATGTTTGTCACTAATTCATGTGACTGGAATCTTTGCACTTCCATTTTTTTCTTAGGTCAAATCTTATCACAGATTTGGTGTTGATGAAATGGTATAGCTCTAATAAAATGTTCAGTAATGATTACTTTCTTTTCTCACTTCCTTGACAGGTCAGTATGTCTAGGAGGGACAAAAGTAGCAGAAATTTCAAACTAAAGAGTTAAGAAAGCCTTGTCAGTTGGGCAAATCTAAAATTAGAATATGTAAATAGGAGCCAATTGACAGTAATTTGACTTGCAATTTCCTGGCAACACATGTATTATACCAGGCCTGCCAAGAATTTGTAACTCTGTAGCTATATTTACAGTCAGCATTATTTTAAAGAGACACAGTGAAGCTATAGATTCTCCGGCATCATAGCATATTTTGCTATAGAAATTAAAAGACTAGAAGAGCTGTGAGTTCCAGCAAATGGAGCTCTTAAGTGTCAGAGATATCAACTGTCTGTACATTTACAAACTATTACAAACATTTACAAAGCATTATTTAATCACTCTTCCAGTCTCCCCAAGGAGAGAAGAAAAAATCATTTTACTGAAATTTAATTCCCATGATTGAATGAGAAAAAAGGGATTAACTCAGAAATAGATGAATGCCAGATATTTTCAGGATTTTTTTTATTAAAGCCTTATCAAAGTTCCCTATTCTTCTAACTCCTTTCCTTATCTCTGATTCCTGAACTTTTTGAAATTGTAAGTAAGAAATTTAAAACACAAAGAAAATACCACAAATATTTGGCTGACTATCCAAGAGTCAGGCTTACAGAAAGCAAGAGAAAAAGTAACAGTCTTTGATGATGGAATCAGAGGCCAAAAGGGTGTCTTCCAGGTTCTGCATGGTGATCAAGAGATCTAAAGGAGTTGTACAGTTTCTGGCCAGCAGAATCAATGTCATGTAAGAATGTGTTTGTGTGAATTCTCAAACCTCATTCCTGATTTAGTGAATAAGAAAGTCTGGGGAAGGGGTACACAGAAATTTTCATTTTAACAAGCTTTCCAGGAAATTCTGTTGATGGCAAGTGAGAACTCTTAATCTGGAATGGGTTTTGAAAACTGAAGGGGCATAACCTTTGCAGTGGTTTAGCTCTGTCCTTGTTATAAAAATTTTATCCTGTGTTTGAAGAGAGACAAAAAAAATTAGCAATCTGTATAATCCTTGGATAATACATACCTTTTCACTGAAGAGCTCTATGAAAGTCAATATGATCACAGAATGACAGTTTTTGGAAGAACTTTAAAAGGTCACTTTTCATGGCCTACTGCATTACACAGAAATGATTTAACAGTCCAAGCTGAGTTATAACTTAAGCAAATAGTTACATGAAAGGATTATTTGCAAAGGGGTTTAATGTCCCACTGTGTGTGGAAGGGTACTGACAATTGAATCTATGGCCTCACATAGGCTAAGTATACAAATAATTTTTAGGGTACCCTCAGCTACACAAAATGAAAAAGTATTTTGCTGAGAAATCTTGCAAAGAGAGAAGATGTCCAATTTTGTGTGTCTTAGTTACTTTCTCATCACTGCAACACAATACCCAACATCCACAATTTAGAAGAGGAAAGGTTTATTTTGACTTACAGTTTGTCAGTCCACAGGTTTCAATCCATAGTAGGCTGGTTCTGAGGCAGAGTGCCTGGTTGAAGAGTATCACAGAGGGGCATGGCAGAGGAGGCTTGCTTATGGCATAGCAGACAAGAAACAGAAGCAAAAAACAAGGGAGGAAGAAGGGAAATAGATCCTTCCAAGTGATCCACCTCCAGAAACCAGGCTTCACCACCCATATCACATGTAGCTATAGATTCATCAGTGGACTAATCCATTGACAGCATTACACTACCACTACCCAAACACCTCCCCAAAGTTTCACCTATGAGCACATGAGGCTTTGGGGGCCATTCAGGTATAAACCTTAACAATGTGTAATTATGAATCTCCTAAGTCGTATTTAACTATGGAAACTATTTTTCTATGGAGCATC